TATTTGGTCATGCCAATGAAACATTGCACTCCTGCAACATCTTTGGGTTTTGGCATGTTCTTTATGGCGGCTACCTTGCTTGGATCTGCCTTGAGTCCATCTCTAGACAGTATATGCCCCATGTACAAAAATGTACGTCACCTTTGAGCTCTTGAACTCAAGCTTATCAAAGTTCAGTTTGATGTGACGCTCTCTGCATCTCTGTAGAAATTGACGGAGGTTCACGTCGTGATCACGGTTGACCTCCGTTGTGTCACCACGTCCAATAATCAGGATGTCATCTGCTATCTTGTAGATGCCAACCAGACCCTCTCGGTTGTGGTCCAGTTTTTGTTGGAAGATTTCAGGGGCTTGACTGATGCCAAAAGGCATTCGTTGATAGCAATATCGCCCCCACGGTGTCTGGAAGGTGGTAAGGTAGTAGGATTCTGTATCAAGTTCACACTGTAGGAAACCCTCCTGAAAGTCGGCCTTGGTAAAGACCTTCACACCTGACATCTGTGGCAAGATGTCATTGATAATTGGCAGGGGGTAGTGCCCTCGTTTAAGAGCACTGTTGAGCGGCTTAGGGTTGATGCAGACTCGCATCTTCCCATTTGGTTTGATAACAGTGACCAAACTCGAGGCCCAGTCCGTAGGTTCAACCACCTTGGTGATAATTTGTCGCTCCTCCAAGCGATCCAGTTCTGTTTTTAGTTTGTCTTTTAGTTCGACTGGTACTTGCCTCATTGGCATTATAGTAGGCGTTGCCGTTTTGTCAAGTTCAAGATGCACAGTTGCTGGCATGAGTCCAAGTCCTTGGAAGACATCTGGATAGGCACTCTTGACGTCATGCTTTGAGTTCATTGGTGCATTCGCGATTGAAGTATGGGGCTTGCACGGCTCGTTAATCACTGCGATATTGTGACGCTGTATTCGTATCAAGTTCAACTGTTGTGCCGTGCGCAATCCAATCAGCGGTGTGCTTTGTCCCTCAGTTATCACGAAAGCCACATTGCATTTCTGCATGTTTTTAGGGTTCACTAGTGGAATAGTTGCAGTGCCAACAACAGGAACGGTTGCTTGATTATCATACAATGACAAGGTCTTCTTTGACTTAGCTATTTTAGTGCCTACAGGTAAGTACTTCTAAGGTACACATTACATGTACATGTTGCACCACTATCAGTTTGCATTATGATTCTTTGATCATTAATTAAGAATGTGACCATGAACTGCGTACTTGGTTACATTGTCTTGGGTTTTTATACTACCTATCACATCTACAGTCATGACATCAAAGTCAAAATCTGAATCACACTCTTCTGAGTCTTCGTCAAGCGCATGGACTTTTGTCCTTCCTTTTTTGTGGATTTTGGCACTTTTTTGTGCTTTTTTGATTGGCTTGCACCCGGTCTGCACTTTTGCGAGAAGTGGTTAGGTTTACCACAAGTTGAACATGTCTTACCAAAGGCAGGGCATTGTGTTTTCATTAACTCATGTTTTCGACCACAGTATCTACAATTGTTTGTGAATTCTTTCTTCATGGTTCTTTGCTTTTGATGAACCGCTATTACTCCTACGGGGTCATTAGGTTTTGTTAACTTCATGGCTTGCATATGTAATACAGTTGCCTCTGCTGCTTTACACAACATGACACGTTTATCTAGGTTAAGGCTTGCTTCTTGCAGCAGATGTTTATGCAGTGTGTTATCTGTTATTCCACACACACGTGTTCCACACATCTCTAAGGAAATCTTCTGCGAG